AGCTTCTTGTTCCTAGCAGCGAGGCCAGGAGCCCCTGGTAGCATCCTCCCTCCTAGTAGTACGGCCAGGAGCCCCTAGCAGCTTCTTGTTCCTAGTAGTTCCTAGTAGTACGGCCAGGAGCCCCTAGTAGCGTCCTTGCTCCTAGTAGTACGGCTAGGAGCCCCTAGTAGCTTCTTGTTCCTAGTAGCGAGGCCAGGAGCCCCTAGTAGCGTCCTTGCTCCTAGTAGTATGGCTAGGAGCCCCTAGTAGCTTCTTGTTCCTAGTAGTTCCTAGTAGTAGGGCCAGGAGCCCCTAGTAGCGTCCTTGCTCCTAGTAGTACGGCTAGGAGCCCCTAGTAGCTTCTTGTTCCTTGTAGCTTCTGAAAAAGCTGCACTTCATCCATGATGTGGCGGCCTGCATCGCCTCGCTGTCCAGCTCAACTCCGGCGCTCTTGAGCCTGGCTAGCACCTGGGACAGCCAGAGTTGAAGGTTCAAACCTGGTCGCCGGGGTTCCAAGAAGGTGGACGTTCCTTAGGTCCCTCAGGGTACTTTAGTAGCATAAGACACAAGGCTGGACTTTTCGGAAACCTTTCAAATGCTTTTCGGCCTTTGCGACGTCATCCGCTGCCTCTCCAGACATGACCTGCCAAGCACTCAAGGTGCCTAACCGAGATTCAGTTCGGAAGGGCTCCAGCAGCCCCACGGACAACGAAAAGCGAACTCGTCTTCAAAACCAGTTCATCACGAGTTCATCACGATTTTTCAAGGTTCGACACGTCTTCCAAAGAGCCTGATTCAGAAGAGGGCTACACGGGAATGTGCGGAGCAATGGACTGGCGGCATTTCATGCATACTCAGGTGCGCAATTGCATCCAGGATCCAGCTGAAATCATGTTGCTCTGTTGGGTTGCGTATCAAAGCACTTCTGTCTGTTGGTTCAAGAGGCATGAAGTTTTCGTGAAGTGTTAAGTAGCAGTCTGCAAAACTACGCAAGTTGAACCTGATAGAGACTGACGAATCTGTGAGGCCGCAGGACACTGCAAGTCATCATGTTTAGAGCAAAAACAGCCCTTCCAAGGTCGCACTTCCAAGCACTTGTTACTAGTAGTAAGGCACTTGTTCCTAGTAGCTTCTTGTTACTACTAGTAAGGCACCTGTTACTACTAGTAAGGCACTTGTTACTAGTAACATGCAACTAGTAGCATCCTTGCTTCTAGTAGCGATGCCCTTTGTTACTAGTAGCGTGATAAAACACAAACCCTAAGCTTTGGAGATGTAACATGCCAAACCTTTTGCGCAATATCTATTTTTACAGTCCAACGATTCGGCTACCCATGACATGTCCAAAGAAGCAAGAAGTGCAATGCTGCGGCGGATTCTTTTTCTCTAATGTGCAGGCTTTACAACTGGAGAGCACAACTATAATACCATCGCTACTGGCGTCCAGGCACACACATCAATCTGCATCAATAGGATTGGATCGATCTAGAATCTGGTGAATCCATTGGGATCAATAAGACGTCCCATCGCCAGAGCCTCTCCGAGCGAGGCCCGCTTCGGCCTGCTTCGGCCTGGTCCTGCTCTACTTGGACTCGGCTTGCATTCGGCCGTGGTGTCTACCACGAAGGGAAATTGTACTTGCAAAGGCATCATGCCTGTGCGCCAGGTTGTGCGCCAGGCTATCCCTCAAACCAAACAAAACCAAAACTTCTTATCTGTTGTCTAGTCACTTCCCTCATCACTGTTTGCTGAAATGCTCCCGCCGCTCAGTGTTTTGCTGTCTGATGTGGCTTGGTTTCACCTGGACGTGACACGCATCCTGTGTTTAAGTGACCAAAACGATTGACGAGTGTCAACATACAGTTGATATTCAAAATAAAGAACATCACACAGACCTTACCTGACGAGCTTGCCTGCAATGGCGGCAAGTATCTATATACTGCACATGCCTTTCCAGCCTTTCTCCATGTGTTTATTGCACGTTGTGCAAAAGAAGTTGCACAATCATGGAACTACAGCAAAATTTCAACCCGAGTCTACGTTCAAATCAGCATTCTTGGGTCAGTATCGCAAAGGTAAGTATGGTAACCTTGCACGTGTCTAACTCCTTTCAACAGCAAGACTCCAAGACAATGCGTGGTACCACATCGAGACAAATCATGAGAGAAAGCTGAGCAGCAAAGGCTTCCTTTTTTCCAACTGTCATGAAAGCAATCTATCTTATTATGAGGAAACGCACTCAAGCCATACAAGTAAGGGCTTGGATTGGAGCAAAAATCATGGGCCACACTATATAACCTGCAACGAACTAGCTTCTCAGGTTCAAGTTTAGCAATGCTATCTTGCCCCAAACAGCATTTGTAGGAAAGGGAAATCCACCCTCTGGGAAGCCAAACACTTCGGTGGTGTTCCCACCGTTCCATCCAGGCGGGTGGCCATGCACCTATGCGAAGGAGCCGCCCGAGACCAAACTCAAGTGGAAAAAAGACAGAAAAAGAGTGTGGTAGGACGCTGTGACACTCTGCATGTCCCCAGCTCCTAATCAATTCTCACATCCAACCAGAATCTGATGTCTGATCTCACAAGTTTTGTGCGTGATTTTTATTGTTGTCAGAACGAGAATCTGTGAAGGGTATTGCATGGAAAAGACCCACACTTGAACTGAAAAGACAAGGCAAAACATCCTACTTTGAGGCCGACACTTCTCGACGCTCTTCTTTAGTGCTTGCACTGCGGATGAGTCCTCGTAGTTGGTGAACCAGACCTGGCAAACCCAGCGTTTCTCGGGCACAGGAACCCAAGGGGGGGGTTCGTTCGGAGCTGAATTGAACGCAACAGTGAAGCAATCGCGTAAAGGCTAAGCAGTTCGGGGCCCATGGAAACTGGTGAGCCTTTTTGAACACAGAAACGCACGGCAAAAAGAATCAATCGACCACCTCAAGGCGGATGACCCCTGCAGCTCTCGGCCCTGACAGCTTGTCCACCTGAACTCACCAAGTCCCAGGTGACCATGCGGAACATGCGGCAAGACTTGGATGGTTGGAGATTCTTCCACGTGACTTGCATGAGATCAAGTGAATCAAGTGTCATGCTTTCGCTGGAGCTTTCTGTCCAGTTTCCAGGACTGACTATGATGGACGCTGAGCTCCCTTTGCTGAGATTCTCACAAGTCGAATTCCAGTGATCATATTGGCAGGCTCGATCGTTGCACCAATCCTGATGGGAACTTCTAGCTCAGGAACCACAAGATCCGCTGCTGTGATGACGACGCAAAACGGACACCAGAATATGCGTTGATTCCATCTACTGTATATACAGGCTCCATCTCGGATGTTATATCACGACACAAGATAAGTACAGTAGTACGAAGAAATCGAATCTAGATTTCCGCATGCATCTGTGCTGTGTATGTGTTCGCATGTGATTTGGCCACGGTCTTCAAAACTGCTGGAAGGCTATTCTCCAATGCAGTCAGAGGGCACGCCAAGCACCAGGTTGTTCCAATACTCGTCAACCTGTGCTCCATCTGCAACTTTGCTCTGAGCTACGTCGCAGCTACGTCTTGGACAAAGGCGCACTGTGGTTTCTATCCAACAGAAGCAGCAAAACAGCTTCACGCAACCACCTGCATCCCGCCTGTCCACCGCCAACGGTTGGCTTGAGCTGAAACTGAAAATGACCTCCGTTTGTGTTCATCTTGTCCTTCCAGTGCACAAGCTGCATCTACAAGGGAACTGCAGGTTGGTCTAGTTGGGACAAATGTACAACCAACAGCGTAAGTGAGCATGAAAGTTCCCAAATGTCCTCCCACTCTGGACGGATGTTCTCGCGGAATATCATGATCGCATCCTGGGCTCACAAATGAAAAATTCACGAAATTCTCACGAGAAGCACTGACAATGATTTCTGCAAAACCATGCAACAGTATCTCAGGGTCTTCATGCCAAGCATCAATGACGTGCAGGCCATCAGGTTGCTCTCTCACCATGCGCTTCTGACCGATGACGTGCAGGATGCGATCCGTTCCGACCGACTTTTGGGATCGAACTCCACGTTTCGTTACCGACTTGTGGTTCGGCAGGAAAACAGAAAGGCCAGAGGACATGAGGAGGACAGAGGACAAAGGGATGACGGAAGGAAAAGAACATGAACACACCAAAGAGGACAAGGAAGGACAAGCTGTGGCCAGACAACGCCAAAAGGACAACGGAACAACATGTGGGGAGCACGCCAAGAGGACCGCAAAAAGAAAGCAACGACGACCGGAGAAAGGCTGGCATCCGCGGCCAATGAACACCTGAAGAAGGCAACAGAAGAACATGAGGGGGACAGGACCCAAAAGATTGTGACAAAAGGAGAAGAGCACGACATTCGGCTGGCGCGGTCTGATACTGTGGCCAGCTTCTTTCTTCCTACGAGAACCCTGCAAGAAGAGGACGACAGGAGGACAAGGATTGTCTTGCTAGTGCTTTACTGCTTGTAGTGCACACTCGCATGTTGACATGTTTACATGCTGACAGGCTGCCATGTGGCCATGCTGCGGTATTGAAGTCTTCGCGCTTGCCGGCTGGCACACAAGGCTTGCACGTGTGCAATTGGACCCTTTTGTGCTTGGGAACGGTGCTGTGATGGTGTTCTGTCTACATGCTGCCATACTGTCATCTGGACACCAGCAACAAGGGGGACAAGAGGACAACGGGAGGAAAAAAAAGAGGAGAAGAAGCGGACAAAAGGAGGAAAAGACAAAGGACAAAAAGAGGACAACAGGAGGACAAGGTCTGGAGACCGGCTGGCAGCCGCGGCCAAGCTGGTGTCAACAAGAGGACAACAGGGGCACAAGTGGAGGACAAGAAGAGGACAAGAAGACGTCAAGAGGAAGACAAGAGGAGGGCAATGGAAGGACAAGAAGTTGACAACAGGAGGACAACGCCCGGACACAGGGTTCACCAGCGCGGCCAGAGACTGTGACGAGTTTTTTTCCTGAGAGAGAACCCCAACAGTAAACTGTTTGGGGAAAGAAGGCGACGGTCCTGCTCAAAGAGCTCGGAAGGTTGCGGCATGTGGTTCCAAAGCTTCCAAAATTCCTGCACAGAGCAGCGCAGGAGTCAGAAATTGCTTTAACTTTAAAAAAGACGAAAACCACTCAGATGCAGCAAAAAGAATCATCTTGCATGTGCAGCACTTCTAAGGGGAAGCTTTCGGCCCCGTTAAGACAATCGAAGCCAGACTACCTTCAGATTCAAGTGAATTGTCAACCAACTGGGGTCTAATCCAAATTGTGAACCATCTGGTGGATGTGGTTCACCTAAAGATTCTTGACTTGCTGGTCAATGATTTGGTTCCCCACTTGGAGTACCTACCCCACGCAGCCTGCACAGTCGAGAATGCAGCAACCTTCAGGGCAAGCAGTTACAAGTTCTCCTGCTGAACTGCTGCGAAAGACTTCTAGGGAAGCATGAGAATCAATTTACCTAGGCTCCAAAAGAAATTGAGGGCTGGTTGCTTGTATACATGTTCGTTCTTTCATGCCTGTCATGTTGCAGCTCCTGGCACATGAGCCGAACAAAGAGTTTCCTCAACAAATACGCTTGACAAATGCTATCCGGGCTTCTTTTGGTTTATTAGATTCCTCTATCTGTCCTTTCTTCTTGGTTGTCGAAACAATTTGTTTGGTCCACTCCCGCTGCTTTGAGCACATCAAATCTACAGCAGTGTATAATTCACCTTCTATTGATGTCGCTTCCCTTGAGCTCAGAAAATCATAAAAAGTGTGATGACTGACAAGTGCACATAGATGGCACCTGGCTAGACGCCTAAAGAGAAAAGATGCTCTGCCAAGACTCAGAACATGTTCAACAACATCCACCTCAATCTCACTCCAACCTCCTTCCAGCCTTGTGAGTGGCATCGGAATAGGCTGCTGCCTTGTCGTTTGCCATGATCTGCTCCCAAATGGACCTTGCAAGTGTCAATCAGCCTTCGGATAGCTCCAAACACACTTTCTTCTATCCCTCCCTCAACACCTGCCAGACTGATGTTGGGTAGCGGTAGCGGAAAACAACACTGATTCCCACTCGAATACACGCAAGTGAAAACTTGAAGGCTGTACAGTACAGGTCGTAGCTGTGAATTTTCTCTTCCTACATGCCATCAGCCCCACAGTCTTGAATTGCATGGAAGTAACCATGTGTACCGCAATGGCAAATCCTTCTTGAGCATCTCCTCATTTTCGGCAGAGTTGTCTGACGTAAACCTTGCAAGACAGAAGGTTTTCCACTCAACTGCTTTGGCACATTCGATTGATCTACTCCCGACACCTTCAAAGCCAGCTAAACTTACAGCATCAATTGGAATGTCTAACACATCTCCAGATGACCCGCAGAACCGCAGCTATCTACTCTTGTGCAAAACAAGCTGGCAGCACTTCAGGTTTGCATTTACCGTCTCGTTGAAGCTGAGATATGCCATCCTTGGAGAATCAAACCACACGGTGAAAACATGTGGTGTATACACATAGTCAGCGGTAGGAAGACATCTGTACATCTCTGTACTCTGATACAAACATCCACAAATATCACTCTCACACAAACAGCTTAACATTCGACATGATCATCTCAAAGGTAAAGGACTGCCACCAAGAATCCTTTGTGCGAAGGCACGCTAAGACCCTTCACAGTGCACAAAAAGCATTGCCCTCTTGCACATCTCAATGGTCTAGCCCTACGAGTGGCTGTACAAACACACAAACTATGCAATATCACCCCGCCGGCCTGGCCAAAAAACTTCAGGTTAAACTTCCCACATCCTAACTGAGCCAAATGACGAAGGAGGCCGCACTGGCTTGACAACCTATAAGAGGCACAAAAGTACACGGTGAGGTCGAATGAGACCTGGAGAGTTTCGACACAACATGCAGTGGCTTTTCGGTGCCGCTCGATCTGGCAACGTGCTTGGCTGCACCCACTCGCCAGTCTGTCAGCAAAAGGCAAAGTGAGACAGCTCTGACTGTACTGGAGGGTAATCCAAACTTCCTCGAGTGTGAACTGCTGCACCCTCTTGCCAGAGCCTGACTCAATCTCCACCTCAACCGCACCAGGACCCTTCAGGCCCCAGCACAGCTTTCTGCCTCTGCTGGTTCCTGTGGAAACCCAGGAGGCACTGCGGCCAGGATGCCAAATTAATCCACCAATTCTCCCCTTCCTGCTTCACATGCGAACTTTACCCCCTGACTCCCAGCCCCAATACAATGAGAGGCCATAAGAGGGCCGAATCTATCTCATCTAGGACTAGTCGATGGGCAGCATGTGCGTCGCCACCGAATTGAGCGTGCTTTGCGCCACACATACCCGTCGCAAGGGCCTCCCTCAGACTTGCAACCAGAAGGCAATTTCTGCCATCCTTTACATTACCTGGCCGCTCAAAAAGCACACGACGTTCCCCGAAAACGCCGATCTCACACCCTGAATTTCGGCGATGCGGCGGCTTTGCCGGGGGCTTGGCGAAAGCTTTGCAGTCACGAAGCATATAGACAGGGAAACACTTTGATCCTGCAAGCCAAAGCCTTTTCATACTGCTTGGGTTCACCAGGTCCCAAAGTTTCCCACTCTTATGGACAAGTTGCAGCACAGCTCTGCTTGTCTAATTCCTTGACAGCTCGTTCTGCATCAGAGAGATTTGCGCCTGGGCAACCAAATTGAAAAACAGTTCTCAGCATTTGTTGAAATCTCTACCATAGGACGATACACCTTCAGCCGCTTTGCAGAACAAAATCACTTCATGCATTCAAATATCCAACAACAATCGCTGCAAACCACCAGGATTACATACATCATAGATCATAATAATAGAGCCTGAAGCCCTTGTATGAGCCTTGCTCGCTTAGTAGCACCGTTCATTTTGATGCAAATCGATGATGCTCGTACCTTCCAAGATAACTAAGCTATCTGTCTGATGGTGCTGGGGCAGCTGACGAACATGATGCCCTCTGACCAGAACCCACTCACCACTGTGCAGAAGCGAATGGCAATGTGATCCAATGCTGCGAACTTGGAAAGCCTCAACCCTTAAGCGGCCCTACATAGCATACATCCAAGCCGTGTCAAGTTGTGTTCACGGAAGCGTGACGTCAGCCACAGGCTCCTCTGGAGGGGCATCGTAATGAAGGAAATCCAGCTCAACATCTCCACCTCGCAATTCCAATCTGGAATCCTTGATAGACCAGCGCGTGATGAGGGGCAAAGCTCGAGAAAGCCTGAAGGGCGGCAGGCAAGATGCAACCAATGTGGCAAAAACAAAAACTCAGACTTGCGTGGCTTGTATCAACAAAACCGCACCTCTGCTCCAAATCCATCAATGGTGGAGGTGACATCACCATGGTGCTCATGACTCCACCAACTTGAAGCATCTCAGTGCCATCAGGTGTACTCGTCACTTGGACCTGGAACGACACTTGTGGAAAACATCCGTGGGATTGGGGACTTGAAGCACTGTAATAGGAAGGACAAGAAGATAATGTATACTGTTGCTGTAACTGTTGCTAACTCTAAGCTGGTGCACAAGAAGTTCAACCAGGAAAGGGATTCTTCAAACAAGTGTCACACAACTAAGGACGAGGGACGGTTGTATTGAGGATATTCCCCAATGGCATTGAAAGTTGAAATGTGTGCCCCCCTCCCCTGTTGTTCACGCTCATGATGATGTGGCCCTTGTTCTCAGCAGCATCTCCGTCAACATAACCTCTGCCCTTGCCTTTGCCCTTGATGGCCAGCGCTGCATCCAAATTCACCAGTTCACCCCCAACCACCAGGCGCTGCAAATCCCAACATCCCTCCGCCGGATGTGGTGCTTTGGTCTCTTCTTTGGGTGGGCTTCGCCGCAAGGACAGTACAAAACGATCGTGAACCTTACTGGCACAAACAGCTGGGAAGACCATGGCTCCTGGCTGGCGAGGACAGCCTTTGAAGGCCTCGCCAATAGAAGTGCCACCTTGCCAGAAGCTGACGCCAACCGTGGCTTCATCTGTGAGATCCAAAGTCACACCAATCACGGAACCTTTCTTCACCGGCTCACCGAAAGAGGTTTTCAAGCCTGCACTCCCATTGCTCAGGTTGCCCGGCCCACCGAAAAAGAGACCCTTGATCTTGTAGCCCTCAGCAAAGCCTGCTTTGGTTGTAACGCCGATGAAGGCGCCAGAGCCCTCAATGACTTGAACCTCAAAGTATTCCTTGCCGCTGGAGAAGCCAACACCGCAAAGGGCATTGTACTTGGAACTGCCTTTCCTAAGACTGCACAGCTCGTGAAAAAAACATGGAGCCGATCATGGAGCCTATGAAACCACTGAAAATCTTCCAAGGGTGTGCAAACTCTGTCAACACACAAGGTCCAAATAGAAGGTTGTGGTGCCAACCCGGTCGAACAAAATTTTGCCACTCGAAGAACCCATGGTACAAAACAAACAGAAGTGGTCTGGCCGGGAGTCACTTGGGCAACAGCAAAATTAGGCCCGGGTTGCCCTCTGGGAGGGCGAGATCTTGGACAACTTACATAAGGAATGCAGCCAGAAAAGCCGTTGTGCCTTTCAACGACTCAATAACTCAATGAGGATTCCCAAAAGTCATTGAATTGCATTGAAGGACGACATGAAGGTCGACATACAGTTGCTGGACTATGCCCTTATGAACAGTACCCTCGCGCTCCCTCTGTAACATTGTTGGGCTGAAAGTGGTGGGGAAATGACCAAAATCACCCTGCAAGAATCCCAGCACCAACATTCACGAGGGCGTGCGGAGGTTGATGTGAACAGACAGTACGACACGTTCGTCTGCGACAGTGCAATATTTCCTCCACGAACAGTAACTCATCTTAGTGGCCTTGCCTTAGGCTCAGTCCAAGACTCTTCTCCTCACCGACAATCTCAAACTCACCACCACCGAGGTCTTTCACATGATCCTCTGGAGCTCCAACCCATGGTAAGCGCACCAGCACCACTGTGATCTGTGCATCCGGGACAACATCCTCATCTGCAAGAACACGTCCAGCATTCAGCTCAATGGACCTGGTGTGCAGGTTAAACAGAGTCAAACAGTTGGTGGAACAAAGGGCACCTGAGGAACTCTTCCATACCAATAAAGCAAAGAACATGTTGATTCATGTCAGCACATGAATAGAACTAGAGAGACGGAAAGGGTAAAAAAGTGTTGTTTTCCCGAATTTGGTTTTTGGCAGTTTCCGTGTCTTCTGGTTTATTGATTTGAGCAAGCAGGGTAAACAAAAACACATCAAAAATTGTTGCCGGTGAATTGGGATGAGGTCAGATGAGGATAAACTGCAGGGAGGTATGGCCACGCAACATGGCCCTTCAAATTAGAAGACTAGAGATCGATACGCAAATTTGTGGGCAACTCCTGCCTTAATGTCTGTTAAATCAAAGCGTGTAGAACTGTGGTAGCCAAAGCTTTGGAAAGCACTCCAGTTTGTTTGATCCACTGGGCGTGTTTTCAACAAAGTTGACGGCCATGCTCTTCCTCAGGGTGAGTTCATCTTACCGGAATGTTAATTGGTAATTGTTCCCAACTCTAAGTTACTTTAGGTTTGCTGTAATTTATTATCACAGCGCATTGGAAACTCCAACATCAAATCAAGTTAATCTACGAATCTACAACATTTGTGCGCCTCTGCTTTGTAAAGGGTGCAACCAAAGCACCAAAGCCGCCACTCAAGTCGCCAGAAACCAATCGCTTCAAAAACCAAAAAGAACCACAAAAACCACAGACAGGAAAGAAAACCACAAAAGCGGAAAGTAGTTCTCCATAGCCACACACTCCGGGGCATTGCTACCGGAACGGATTGCGGTTTTCCACCCGCGTGCCTAAGAAAAAACCCAAAGGGCCAGGATGAGTATGTAACTCCAAAGCCTCGAACTTGAGATCTCAAAGGCTTACAGTAAGTCTTGCAGTTGCAAAACTCCAGAAACAGCGACGAGATCGACGCCAAAAACTCACATCTGCCGACCTGAATCATCCTGCAAAAGAGTGAGAACCTCGACTACAACACTCACAAAGGGCAAGTACAGGAAGGTGCCCCTGTAAGAAACAGCAAGAGGTGACCTATGATTCTAAGGTGTACACACACTCGAGATATTGCGCACTGAACTGATTGCCCCAAACCCCTGAAGAAGCCTAAGTGAAAAAGTGGCCTGGGTAAAACAGGAAGTATATAGTGCAGTCAAATCCTCAATGTTCCAAAGTTCCAAAGGCCCAAGTCTCAAAGAAGATCAACAACCACGACGAAAGCGACGAAGAAACGAATGCACATCTGCCGATGAAGAACTGCTGCAAAGGCTGGCTCCAAGGCATAGCTTCGTTGCACTGAGTCTGCCAAGGAGTGCTCAGTGCTCCGGCTGTCACAAAGTATCAACCCACACAGACAAATCAACGGATTGCCTGCGACTCCAAGGGTTTCACACACACACACACACGCCTCCCACAAGAAAGGCGTGAAAAAACTAAGGCTGAGACAAATGTGCATGTGCGCGCGCAAAGCAGACAAACGGATGAGGATATAAAAAGCGGACAAGACCTGGTGCATGTGGCTGCAATGAAAAGAAACCAAATGACCAGGAACAACCGATGAAGCCAAGCGTCCTTGCAAGCACCTGGGCGACCTAAGACCTTGGTTTAAGTGCGAGGGCGCGTGTACACTAAGGACCAGACCTATGTGCGTGCAAG